TCTATGGTATTTTGATGACGATGACTCTTTTTTCATAGAGACGAATATTTACAAATCCTAACCACGATGTAGAGAACAAAGATGGCGCCGATCTCGGTACCGCTTTTCCGCTCTCAGTGAATTTGACAGAAGCGCTGTTAATGACTTCACACTTGTGCATCTTGTTTACGTTTTGCTTGCAACATTTTTTCTTCTTCTTCCATTCTTGCTCGCGTTTTGGCATTTCTCTCTCGCAAATGCACCAGTGTGACGTCACACAAAAATTATTTTCAAAAATCCTCTCTGATTGGCGCAATTTTGTATTCTATCATTCTTGAATCCTAACAACAACGACAACAAGTTCAACAAGTAGATTGGATTTGAAATATGCATTTCAATCTCTGTACTTGCCCATAGGACGTGTTCCGATATCTCTTCATTGTGAAGAAATATTGTAGCTCCGAAACCCCCAACTAAGACACCTACCTAACAATTTCAAAATCTTCCACTGATAACCTGAAATGTTAGGTCTGGCTGCGGCCCAAATACTAGTCAGATGGTAGCCTGCGGCTGACGTAGGATACTTCTTGCATTGTCCATTGCTTTGACACTCGATAGAGACTGCGACTAATCCACATGAAGTTCTTGAGAAAAAAAGGTGGTTGCTGAAAATTAAATTTCGCAGGTTACTGATAATAAACCCAGCAGCTCGGGAGTGTTAATGAAATCTGGGCACGGATGTCTAAACTTAAGATATTTAAACTAAGCAGCAACCGGGGACGAAGTGCTGAGATAATTTCACCTCATCATCTTCGAAACTGCTAAGGTAATTCCGCTCCGAAACGATGTTAAGTGGCACCTCTTGCGTTTCCATTGGGCAATGCACGGTCAGGACGGCCCGAGATTTGCTCATTTTACCACCTGCCGTCGACTAACGGCCAGAAGAACTTTACAACTTCCCAGGACAGAGTTTTCGCACAACACGCGCTGAGCCGACTAAAAAACCCATCTATCCAAGAGCACTTCACAGATTGCTATATGACCTGCTGCGCCTTACCCATCAATGAGATGACCTCTAGGCTGGCCTGCCTAGCCAATAAACCAGTTTGCTGCAAAGTCGCTGTGTCCTGGAACCCTAAACAGATTGATTTCGGTGAAGTCCGAGGCAGCTGAGAAAAGATCAGACATTCTCTCCCAGTTTCGATCGCGGTTCTAGAAGCGTGCCTAAGGTCTTGATTACCGTACTGCAGAAATCCAAACCCTAAACTTTACATTGACGGAGAGTTACGAACAGAACACACCCCTTCCAACTTCGACCCCTTCACATATATACTGGGCTTCTTTTCCAGAGTATGGCATTCTCCCTTCGGCTCTTGGAGAGATGTGTGTAGAGAAGGATCCATTCAGAGCCTAGATCGCTACGCACCGATTCGTTTCTTCAGGTATGATGTAGAAACTAGTGCTCATTAGCCGGATGGTATCTAAGAGAACAAAGCTAAGCATACTTAATGTTAAGCGCTAAAGTAGAAGTGGTCCGGAGCGCTTTGCAGATTCTAACATAGGCAGACCTTGCAAGCGTTCTAAGGTCCTAAAGACGTTTCTATTGAATTCCACGACACAATTACTCTATACAACTAATTCCGTTTAGTTATGGTTTCACAGAACCAGTAAATTACCTTTGAAAAGAGGCTTCATCTCTTCCCAATAGCACTTTTCAGTATAGAGCTGATGATTCCTCTTTTAACTGGATCCTCGGTATTTGGTTTCTTGTCCAGGATCACGCGCAAATACTTGGTTCTGTGAGAGAGCGAAAGTGTAATGCCGTCGATCGAGGGAAGCTGAGCATTCGACTTTTCTTACATCCCTGTGAAAACAATAAGCTCCGTCTTACCAGGACTAAAGCAAGTCCGCAGCTAGCTTATAAATTTATGGCTAAGTTTAGCTGAAACTGAATAAGGGCATACGGCGACAATTCCACATTCTCGCCTATGCAACTTCTCCAGGACATCGTTGATGCCGACGATCCAGGGAAAGTCCCCCTTGTGAGATATCTCAACTCATAGCACACTGGACGGAGACTTTGTCGCATTCCGCAGAGCAGTAAATTAGTGATTTAAACTCCTAACTTACCCAGAGGTTTTAATACCCTCAATATCGAGAAAAGCAAGGCATTCGCTTCAAAGTCGATTTCGATATTTACAAACGGTGCAGGCCAGGTTTTGAAGATTTTCCTTAACGTAAGTAACTCGTTTCGTGAATAAATTGCGTATGAACCAATTATTGGTGATTTTATTCTTCATTTGAAATAATTAAAAGAAAAACGAATTATGACTCTGAGCAACGAGCTACTTTCATTTCACTCAATGTCGCTGATTGTCAACTAGTTGTTATGTAGCGGCTGTCGATGTAGCGGCTTACTTAGCCTGCCTAGATTGGCTTTTCTCCTAGTCGTTGTAGTCAAGCTCAACCAGCGGGAGGCTCAATCACCGTGCCACTTCAACTGGGTTGGACCAGCAGGAAAGTGACGTTAGATGAGTGGGGTGACTCTCCGCATGCCGGACATCCGTTGGGCACATCTGAGTTTATCCCACTCAGGTATAGTTTAGAGTGGTGCGAGACACGCTAGTCAAAAGGAGTTATGTCTCGTCCACGTCGGCTGTTTTCTAAAACTGCATTCACTGGTCGGGAGTTGGCATAAGTTAACACCGACTCCCTGTGAATGCCGTTTATGGCCTGTCGGTACGCTTTTGGGCCCAGTGATTGTTTTATGAAGTTCTGGACATTCCTTTGGCGAGGGCTCTGCCGCAAGCAGATATCTGTTGGGGTGCGGTCCGGAGTGTCGTTTTTTGGCAGTTAATTAAACTCTTAATTACTGTTTTATCAATAATACTACTTTTTCTTAACCGACTTCAAAAAATGGAGGATGTTAACAATTCGGCGGAATATTTTATTTTTAATTTATTTTTTATGTATGTTACCGCATTACTTTGGATCACGTTAACCGATTTCTATAATTATTTTTTTTAAAGAAAAGTTGGTAGGTACCTAAGAGGCATACTAATTTGGTTTAGATCCGATCATTTGATATTGATGAAACTAACGGCACTAATAAATTTTTATATGAGAATTGAAGTCGGTAGTGTGTTTTGCTTAAAGATTACTTCCCTTTTTAATTAATTACATAGGGCAACACTGATTTTGGTGCGGCAAATGTTAATGCTTTTTGGTGCTGATCAAGAATCCTTAAGTAAAAAGTTTCCATCAAGATCAAGATTTTGAAAAAAACGAGGTCAAAGTGTAAAAAATTGCGTTTTTTGTAATATTTATCTAAAACTGGGCATGGAACTATGCGAATATTCGGATATTCGTGTATACGGTTAAAATCCGGATATCCGACTAATATCCGTTAATTTTTCTATCCCAATATCCGGTTAATATCGGTTCATTTTGTTATATGGACAGCCAGTTCATATCCGGATATTTGCATTTATTAATCAGGTAATCCATATAGAGCTCCCAGCCTTAATCTAAACTCTTACGGTTTTTTAAAGGAGTATTTGAAAAGTCGAAAAGTTTAAAAAGTTGTTCACCACTGTAAAAGAATGTGTCTACAGTACGAGCAATGCATCGATAAAGTTACTCATCATCATCATTATCATCATCAGCGGTTGTATACATTCACAACTTCATGAACTGATGTTGGCGCTAAGTAAGGGGATTTCCAATCTCTTTTATATGAAAATCACACCAAAATACTGCAACAAAAATTGGTATAATAATGAATATTTGGTATGTTGAAAAAAAAACTCCGCTTATAAATTATTGAATGCCTATGCAATATGCGACATGCAATCATATTTACTTGGCACACCAAGCCGAACCGTTTGCCTGTACCCTGCAGCTTGT